TCCTTACCTCCCCTCGTCTTAGAGGGAACGATCTTCATTCTTTCATCCTTAAGATTCTTCATAGTGATCAATAGATATAAATCCCAAGTGACTCAACAAATATAGCTATGCTCCATGGCAACGGCGCCAGAAAAAGGTCTTGATGACCCACAAGTATAGGGGATCGCAAAAAATTTTGAGGGTAGAGTATTCAACCAAAATTTATAGATTCGACACAAGGGAAGCCAAAGAATATTTGTAAGTATTAGTAGCTGAGTTGTCAATTCAGCCACACCTAGAAATCTAATATTTGCAACAAAGTGATCAGTAGCACAATAGTATGATAGTTTTGATAACAGTGGTAACGATAGCAATAGTAATGGTAACAACAGTGGTAGTTCTATAGCAATTGTAGCAGCAACATCAACAGTAGTAGTTTAGCAAGATCAATATATGGAAAAACTCATAGGCATGGATCGGTGATATTGATGGATAATATTCATCATATAACAGTTATAACCTAGGGCGACACAGAACTAGCTCCAGTTCATCGATATAATGTATGCATGTATTCGTAAATAGTCATACGTGCTTATGGAAAAAACTTGCATGACATGTTTTGTCCTACCCTCCCGTGTCACCGAGTCCAGAAGGAAAATAAGGGATATTAAGGTCTCCTTTTAATAGAGAACCAGAATAAAGCATTAGCACTTAGTGTATACATGAACTCCTCAGACTACGGTAATCACCGGAAAGAATCTCAATTATTGTCACCTTGGGGTATGTGGATCCTAACATGTAGTAGGTGCATATGACTTGAAAGATCGGATCAGGAACATAGATATAATGGTGAAAACATAAACAGCTCAGATCTGAATTCATGGCACTCAGGCCCTAGTGACAAGCATTAAGAATAGCAAAGTCATAGCAACATCAATCTCAGAACATAGTGGATACTAGGGATCAAGCCCTCACAAAACAAACTCGATTACATGATGAATCTCATCCAACCTCTCACAGACCAGCGAGCCTACGAAGGAATTACTCACTCCCAGCGGTAAGCATCATGGAATTGGTGATGGAGGATGGTTGACGATGACGAAGACGGAAGATTCCCCTCTCCGAAGCCCCGAACAGACTCCATATCTCGCCTCCCGATGAAGAACAGGAGGTGGCGGCGGCTCCGTAACGTGAAACACGATTAAACTTCCTCTCCTATTTTTCTCTCCAAAAATAGGAATTTATAGCGTCGGAATTAGGGTCAGTAGAGCCTTGTGGGCCCAACTACCTACCAGGGCGCGCTGGAGGGGGGTGGCGCGCCCTGGTGCCTAGTGGGCAGCTGCCCCCCTTCCAGTGGGTCTTGGTTCCAATATTTTTTATTTATTTCAAATTAATTCCCCAAAAAGTTTCATCCAATTCCGAGAACTTCTATTTCTGTACAAAAATAACACCATGGTAGTTCTACTGAAGACATCGTCAGTCCGGTTTAGTTTTATTCACTAGAGTCCAAAACAAGAGAAAAAGCATTAGGAAAAATAGATACGATGGAGATGTATCAGGCTTCTACCGCGCCGCTATCGCCACTTCTGACCTACGCTCGTGCGGCCCTTCGCGACCACTATGGTTTGCTGCGATGCAGTAGGAGTTTGATGCCCTGTAGCGCAATCACACTTGGCAGCTTGTCCCACGTCCCTGTCATGCCAACATCATCAGCAGGAAGTAGGTCTTCAAGCAAAAGCTTCATCCTGATGGTACACTCGATCGCTACAAAGTGCATTGGGTGGTTCGTGGCTTCTGTCGGTGCGCTAGCATCGATTTCACGGATACATTTGCCTCGGTTGTCAAACCCGGGACGATTCATACTGTTCTTCAGCTCGCGGTGTCCCGCGCCTGGCCGGTGCACTAGATGGACGTCTCAAACGCCTTTCTCCACGGTCATCTCAAGGAGCGGGTGTATTGCCAGCAGCCCACGGGTTCGTCCACGAATCTTATCCGGAGCATGTATGCCTACTTTCACGCTCGTTGTACGGGCTCAAGCAGGCTCCCCGCGCCTGGTACCAGCACATCGCAGTATTTCTTCATCAGCTCGGCTTCCGCTCCACTTGCTCCGATGCTTCGTTGTTCGTCTATCGCCAGGGCGATGCTACCACCTACATACTCTTCTATGTCAATGACATCATCATGACATCTTGCTCTACTGCTCTTCTTCGATAGCTCACTGACCGTCTTCACGCTGAGTTCGCCATTAAGGACTTGGGTCCTCTACACTACTTCCTCAAGATCGAGGTTGTCCGGCGTGAAGATGGCTTCTTTCTTCACTAGCGGAAGTACGCTCATGACCTTCTTGATCGTGCTGGGATGCTTAATTGCAAACATGCGGTCACGCCTGTCGACACGAAGGCCAAGCTCTCTGCCACAGATGGGTTCCCGGCTCCGGATGCTTCGTTCTACCAGTCTATTATTGGTGCTCTTCAGTACCTCACTCTTACACGACCGGAGCTTCAATACGTCGTTCAGCCGGTGTGCCTACACATGCATGCTCCTCGCGACGCTCATTGGACTTCGGTGAAGCGGATACTATGCTACATCTGAGGCACCCTAGATCTCGGGTTGTCACTTCAGGCCTCGGCCGCCCTGGACATCACCGCCTACTCTGATGCTGACTGGGCCGGTTGCCCTGACACGCGCCGTAACACTTCGCGATATTGCGTTTATCTTGGAAAGTCACTTATCTCTTGGTCGTCCAAGCAGCGACTCACCGTTTCTCGCTCCAGTGCTGAAGCGGAGTATCGCGCGGTGGCTAACGTGGTCGCAGACTGCTTGTGGCTTCGCCAGCTTCTTCATGAGCTTTCGTGTCCTGTTGACAAGGCCACTGTCGTCTATTATGACAACGTCTCTGCCGTTTACCTCTCTGCTAATTTGGTTCATCATCGTCGCACGAAGTACATTGAGCTTGATATCTATTTTGTTCGGGAACAGGTGGCTCTTGAATGTATATGTATTCTACACGTACCCACCTCCCAACAATTTGCGGACATCATGACCAAGAGATTGCCTACGGTGTCCTTCGAGGAGTTTCGGTCCAGCCTTTGCGTCGGCAATGGCGACGCTTCGACTGCAGGGGAGTGTTGAGATGTATATTGCACATGTGTATTTCTTGTACAAAAGCCCCCCTCCTTCCTTGTATAGTTGAGGACATGGCTACCCCTTATATGTATGTATGTATGTATGTATGTATGTATATACACACACGTGCATATGCACCCGATGAATATATCGTGAGTTGCACATATTCTCTATACCATCCAAGCACATTTTCACACTGTTTCAAGGACAAACTTTCCAGAGCAATTCTTTCAGCAGCAACTTGAGACATCTTACTCTTCTTGAGAGGGGCATCTTCTTTTCCATTTTCATCCGTTATCAATAACCACAAATTCAAAGTTTTTCCTCTTGCTTGCATGTTTCCCAGTTTTGTACATCCTTGCTCAAACACCGTTCAACTGCAAATCCAATGTCATAGAGACAGAGATCTTTTTGATAATTTCAGTTCTCACAGGAATCTTATGTAAATCCCTCATCTCCTCCGTGATTTCTGTTTTGTCAGCTATCCTTTCAACATCAACCTCCAAAGTTGCTGTCTAATCAGCGAAACTGACAACACGGTCATGGCGACAAAAACCCTCAACCGTCGTTGTCATATCTGAGCTAAAAAAATGCTCACGATGGTCGAGCACTATGGTTGTTTCAGCGAAGGAATTACAAGTAGTTACAACTTACAAGTACTACATCAATGATCCTAAATGCCGGAAACAATAGTCACGTATCATGATAACGTGATACGATGGGACGCTCGCGTCCTTGGGCGATCACGTTAGCTATCTGCTAGCTCCCGCCAGCACACCATCTTCAGGACGAGCACGCCAGCCCTGGAAGATGCGGTTTGCCCGTCCAATTGCGGACTGCGAAATCACACCCTAGACAACACCAGGACTCTAGGAGTGTATCTCGAAAGCTCCCATGGCACCATTTCAAAAGGGGAGCCGATCCTACGACCACCATCGGCAAACTTGAGCGTGTGGAGGCGTTCACGCAACCATCGACGATGGACAATCATTCCCATTTGCAGAAGCCTATCATCTACACGAAACGGCACACGACGACCGACGCTGCCCGTGGCTCCTCTCCGGAAAAGGCACGACATGGACGCCCCACAAGGCGTCTCCCGCCCATGTGGCCATCAACAAGATACAGCCCAGCAAACAGCCAAAGTCCGTCCACACTTGTTTTATGGAAGCTACGGGTGGCCAGCTAGCTAGCTAGAACATGGATCGATCCATAAATATGGCCTTGCAAATCTTCAATTTCATCACAAGGGCCACCACCCCGTAGTACAAATTAGTACTGGTACAAACCACCAAAGGTACTGCTACTGATCATAACTAGTAATGCAATTATTAACTTCTTTTCTTCTTCTTCTTCTTCAATGAGCGCCACGCTACTACGTCCGTACGGTACTTGATGGATGGATGGTTGTTCAAGTCCTCAATAAACTTGAGACTTTGATGAGAGAAGGAAAACGTCTAAGCGGGTGCTAATTAGCAGCCTCAGCGTAGCCCGGAGCCTCCTCCTTCACTATAACGAAGAGGCCGGCCTTTCTTCCTCCTCCTGCACGCACGCGAATGCAAAATAATTCTTCAATAGAATACGCTCCGTCCGTCTCTTCTCTTCAATGCTTATGCCTGTGGAGAAGGAGAAGAGGAGGGAGCAGACTAGAACTGGGCGCCCTCGAAGGTCTGGCCGAAGTGCCAGCCGGCGGGCGCGGCGGCGTTGCTGGTGACGGTGCGGCCGTCGCTGGAGGTGACCCGGAAGGAGAGGCACTGGCCGTCCAGGAAGGTGTTGCTCTGCCAGTTCATGCCCCAGTTGCGGGACATGGCCTGCCAGCCGGTGCGCGTGCCCTTGATGGACACGGACCGCGCGTCGCCGGCGCCGGCCACGTTGGTCACCAGCACCAGGTTGAACTAGGAGTGGCCGTTGATGGTGAACCGGATGCCCCCCTTCTTCACGCACGGCACCCTGCTCGATCATGCGACGCGTCAGTGCGAAATCGCGAGGGGTAACATGCAGGATTAGTACTCTTAGTACTACTACGTGACACGGTGACAGTGAAATCGCGACATTAAAAGGCGCAGCACATGCGATGTAACTGTAGTCAGTAGCCTGCCTATCGGCGTGCACCGTATCAAATCTGCAGCAGTGTGGCCCGCCTAAACTTATGGACCGAACCAACCGCGGTCCTCGCGTATCTTCAAGCCGACCGACGCCCAGTCAATTAACCCATCGGTTCGGTCGGTCGGTACACTGTAACTTTTTTTCATTTTTGACGGAAAACTTTGTTCTCACCTTCTGTAGGAGACGGGCACGATGCCGGCGCGGTACTGCGCGATGTGGAGGAAGGCCGGCTCGGCCATGTCGAAGTGGGGTCGGGGCGGGTTGCACCAGCCGCCGTCGTCGCTGGGGAGGCCGTAGTTGGGCGGGCAGAAGTTGGTGGCCGTCACCAGGATGGACCCCGGCCGGCACGAGCTGCCGGCGTTGTCGCAGCGCAGCTCGTAGCACGACCCGCACGCCGCGCCGTCGTTGAACAGCGCTGTGCTCAGCGCCGCCGTGTTCGTGCCGTACCCAGTGCTGTACAGGTTGCCATACCCGCATGCCCCGCCTGCAAAACCCAACAAACAGCCAGCGCGCGTGAGTGTCTGTGTGACAGGCGTTCAAGTAGCGATGAGTTATACACATTGCATTCGCCAGCCGCAGCGCCGGGGACATACCCATGGTGCCGGAGGCGTCGCCGCCGCCGTAGAAGGTGGCATGGGCGCTCTGCCAGCCGCCGTACCCGCCGGCCGCGGCCTGCCGGGCGAGGAGGCAGAAGGAGGAGAATAGGAAAAAGAGAGCACCGGCAGCCGCCATCGCTGGGAGAGAGCTTCCTTGTATCAGCAAGCTAGCTTAGCTTTCGAGGGGCTATGGTGACTAAAGCTAGCTAGGCTCGAAATGGCTGGTTGGCAGTGAGGAGCTACCTCCTCCCAGCCGGGGTATTTATAGCCAAAGTAAAGCTCATTGCCGGTGGCGGTTGGATTGCAAGCTCGATCAGGGCCGTGCAGGTTAATAGCACTTCTTTTTTTCCTGAAGATTTGGTGAGAGAGAGAGAGAGAAGAAAATGAGAGATTGAAGGCCGGCTGTGACGTGCGGGGTGACCACGGCCACGGAGGCGCGCGGCAGTTAATACATACTACTCCTATAAATCAGGCGCACATGCGAGTGTCCTCGGCTGGCATCGGGCGCGGCCCCGAGCGCGCGCGCGCGTACGTAACGGGCACCAACCGCTTGCCCGGCCGAGCGCGTGTGTGGTGGGGTGGACTGGTGGCGCGACGAGTCGCCGTGGGGTCCGGGGGCGCCCTACTCTCCACATGGCTCTCACCGGCTGCTTAGCTGAGCCAGGACCATGCAGGACTCGGCCATGAGCAGGATGCAGAGCATGCATGCAGAGCGTGCCTTAACTCCGTGGAACTCATGGGCGGCAAGGCGAGCAGACGCGTCGACCATGCATGCATAGCCGTGTGTGGCAGGGCCGGACCGCCTGAGGGAGGGAGGGAGGGGAATCAGGTCATGTTTTCGTGTCATGGTGCTCGACCGCGCGGCGCGGGCGCGGCATGGCGTGCCTGCTACTAGATACGTGATGATAATCCACTCATGATCGGCGTGTAACGGAACAAGTGCATGCCGACCTTGCCCAACTTGACTACTTGGGGATGGATAATTAACAACCGCATGCATGGTCCAGGAAGTTGCTGCGTGTGTTGGATCGTTCCACGAACGTATTGTTGCAGTGGGAGCCATGCCCATGCTAATCTCGGGCCACTTAACTTAGTCGTGCTGGAGAGTACACTGGACCATCGGATACAAAAAGGAAATCGTGGATTTGTCGGGGCAGGACGCACATCGGCACATGAAGCTGCCCCGGCCCATGGAGCCGGCCATGTCAATGTGCCATGCACACGAACGTACGTACTGTACACACCACCCACACGAAGGGAATCAATCATGCATGCGCAACTAATTAACTACCGGCTCCAATGATTAGCGCACGCTTTAAGGATGGAAAAAAATTATATGGGACCAGGTCTCATATAAACCAGGTGAGACCCGCCCTGATGGATGACATGTGGCATTCACAAATCACAAAGCATCTAATCTCTCCCCCCCTGATTTCAGGTGGGGGTGGGGTAGATGCTTTGTGATTTGCAAATGCCACGTGTCATCCATCAAGATGGGTCTCACCTACTAAACCGTGAGACCCGGTCTCATAGATGCTCAATTAAGGTCTGAACAGGCAAAACCTTCGTGTGGGCTCCTGAAGACTGGAGTGCACATGGCCGCTCACATGCTCAGCCGCTCACGTGAACGGGACACGTAACATGGCTCGGCCCTGTGTGCGTGAGAGCGAGGCCCGAGCAGTGAACGTATACGTAAATCCAACAGCAGCTTTCAGACAAACTTTGGTACCCTGCCCATGCATGCACGATGCACATGCATGCATGCATGGCCGAGACTTTACATCCATCGGCGGTTTCTTACAAATTTTCTACGCTGACCGTTCGATCGTCGCCTACTCGCCTACAGAGGCTTTCAAGGGCTAACATAACATGGCACCGCCGCCCGCACCTCGCCGGTGTCAAGCAGGCGGCCACCTGCTCAGCTCCGCCATCAGTTTCAGAAAGCAACAGTTCCCCAGGCCAGCCGCAGGCAGGCCCCACGCCATGTTAGTTGCACATGGCCGCCCGGGAGTTGCGGCTTAATCCCCTGTCTGTCACTAGCTAGCCACCCCGTTCGTTTGCACCCCTCTTGGACCCGTCACGCTCCGACCAGCGGTTCCGTGCTCAGTTGTGGCGCTCCTTCGCCCGCTTATGGATGGTACAGTGATGCAGGTCCACCAGATGATTACATCTTATCCTGAATTCCTCTTCATAGGCAGCACGCACATGTATACTTCTCGATCAAAGGTAACGCAATGTAGCAGCAAGTGCACAGAGGATATACATGTAGAGAGAAAAATGCAGGTTACTGCAGGCCATGTGTAGGAATAGGAACAGAGCGGTGTGGCGCAGCGGCGCTGTTGTACGTGAAGATCATGACAGCGACATCCCTGTGCGTGTGCGTGGGAGGAGCGGAGCGGAGAGCCATGTGGGCGGACACAACGAGCAAGATCACCCAGGTCCCTCCAAAACGGACGATTGACATCCCTGTAAAAATATCACTGAGGAATGAGACTGGGAGTGAAACGTCTCCCTCGTCATCCCTCTCTAGAGGGACTCCGGGATCCTGCGCTCTCACCTCTCTCGTCCGTATGTAATTATCAGACACAATCACGCATTGATTTTTATACAGTTCAAGCCGTGTAGGGGTACACTGCTGGTTGATCTTGCTTGCTTCCGCGGAAGCTTTCCAGAGCTGAACGCGCGGTTCATGATTGCCAAGAATATTCTTCGCTGGTCGGTGATTAAAAATAATTTCTCGTTTATTCCTTTTCGACATCCGTGGACGTCGTGTCTGTCACCTCCTTGGAGGTGCCGCCGTTAAGTCCACCCTTTGCACAGCCTCAGTTCCACCTCTTCCGGTGAAATCCACGGTCCAATCGGGTCGGGAGACGGCGTCGGCGACATTGCTTTCCTCTCTCGGCGTAGCCTTGAAAAGCATTGGACCCCGTTTTACACGCTCCATGGGCTAGACGCTCGCGGCATACCCGTCTGCGGGTGTCCATCTAGCGTTGTGGATGTTTGCACGACTTCTTACATGGCAACATTGGTGGCTTCGGGTGAAGTTGTGTTGCAGCAGAGTTTTGATAGTTGGTCTCATACTCTCGTCCGTCATGTTCGAGGGGTCCCTGACGAGGTTATCCCCCGCCGGGTAGCCCATGGTGACCTAAAACGCAACGGAGGCTTGTGGAGGCCCAAGCTCACATCCTATATATGTGTACCAAGATAACATCAATCCCAATGACGAGAAGAATTAATTGAGACATTACCAAATCTCAAAGCCTTGCGTTACAACTAGCAATTGTAGTGTATGTTATCGTCAATAGCGAGCATGCTTATCTCTCTTTAATTCACTTGTCATGTAGCTGCAACCTAGGGGATAGGGAACTCTATATAAGCATACCCCTCGTGACTAGTTACAGGTTCGGAATCTCTCTAATCTCATACTCATACACAAGAACATCTCTATGTGAGAACAAGACTAGGTCTTTTACCTCTACTGAAGAGGGGCCTAAAGCTGTATAATCTTGTCACCCACCTGCATCTCATTAGATCAAGCCTTGCTTCAGTGGCGGTGACAGAAATGTTGTCTTGTGTAGTCAATTTGAAATTGTGTAGTCAAATATATGAATTTATACAAATTTGTTTCACTATTTCTACACCTATGTGCTAGTTTCACCAAAAAGCTGGGTAGTCAATTGACTACCCAGCTTGTATGTGGCTTCGCCACTGCCTTGCTTCCATACCTCTCTTATGAGTATTACGGGCGAGTGAGCCTCCTCGGCGGAACCCATATTCACACGGGCGATATGGTGATGCACCCAACTATGGAGATGGTTGGAGGCATGGACTTTCACTGCGTCAACAGGATGATCAATATCGCCAGGGGCATGGTGACTCACCGCATGGACGAGATGAATGCCCTTATGACGCTTGAGATCACTTGACGCAAACCCAAGTGAACCGGAGTCAGGTAGAAAGGGGGACTATGATAGTGATTATCCGTGTGGATCCAACTCATTAGGTCCTTTGTGTTTGAGTCCGTACATTTGTTCAGACACAATTCTACACTAGTTTGGGACGGCCACTAGAGTAAACAAATATAGTGGAACTCCAAGCCTGATACGTGGATTGATGACTATGAAGGAAATATGCCCTAGAGGCAATAATAAAGTTTTTATTTTATATTTCCTTATTGATGATAAAGGTTTATTGTTCATGCTAGAATTGCATTGATCGGAAACCTAAATACATGTATGAATACATAAACAAATGCCATGTCCCTAGTAAGCCTTTACTAGACTAGCTCGTTGATCAAAGATGGTTAAGGTTTCCTAACCATAGACATGTGTTGTCATTTGATAACGGGGTCACATCATTAGGAGAATGATGTGATGGACAAGACCCATCCGTTAGCTTAGCATATAGATCGTTCAGTTTATTGCTACTACTTTCTTCATCTCAAATACATATTCCTTCACTATGAGATTATGCAACTCCCGGATACCGGAGGAATACCTTGTGTGCTATCAAACGTCACAACGTAACTGGGTGATCATAAAGATGCTCTATAGTTATCTTCGAAGGTGTTTGTTGAGTTGGCATAGATCGAGATTAGGATTTGTCACTCTGAGTATCGGAGATGTATCTCTGGGCCCTCTCGGTATACACATCATAAGCTTGCAAGCAAATGACTAAGGAGTTAGTTATGAGGTGATGTATTATAGAACGAGTAAAGAGACTTGCCGGTAACGAGATTGAACTAGGTATAGAGATACCGACGATCGAATCTCGGGCAAGTAACATACCGATGGACAAAGGGAATTACGTATGTTGTCCTAACGGTTCGACCGGTAAAGATCTTCATAGAATATGTAGGAGCCAATATGGGCATCCAAGTTCCGCTATTGGTTATTGACCGGGAAGGTGTCTCAGTCATGTCTACATAGTTCTAGAACCCGTAGGGTCCGCACGCTTAACGTTCGATGACGATATAGTATTGTATGAGTTATGTGATTTGGTGACCGAATGTTGTTCGGAGTCCCGGATAAAATCACGGACATGATGAGGAGTCTTGAAATGGTCGAGAGGTAAAGATTGATATATAGAACGATGGTATTTGAACACCAAAAGTGTTTCGGGTGATACTGGGTATTT